TGAAGCCACTCACTACCAATGACTTAGTTGCTATTACTTACAGGTTATATCCTGCATTCACAACAGACATTTTTCACAGCTAATTCTATAGGGTGAGCTATAGCAAACAACAAAAATACTCAATGGTCAAGAGCATTTTCAGCAACAAAAATGTGCTGTGGTCAGAGTCTGTCTTCACTTGTCCAAAATTAATTTGCAACACAAATCCCAAGTCTGCATCCCAGTAAGGGCTTGTGCCAACCAACCATTCCAGTTTATATCTGCAATTCATTTTTACAGGCTCCAAGACATACAGGCACACATATTTCAGGCACATATTTTTCTTACATCCGAAAAGGGGGATGGGCACATGTAAAATCAGCTTTTATAAAAAGATATCCATAAATATGTATTCCAGAGATGACATTTTCTTGTTACTGCAGGGCTATAAATCATTGCCTCTTCCTATGCAATATGAGTGTAAAATATTTATTTCATATTAGTATACATCTATATATATATTGAGGGTTGACTGCAACCTGGAATTCAAAGGATACTAAAGAGTTTATAAGGTGTCCTAATATTAATATAATTTATCAATAATTGAAGACCTCAGTGTTCCATCTCTTCAATTTGTGAATGATCAGCATGGGCAAGCATCAGAAAATAAAGATAATAAAGACAATGCAGGATTAGTGATATGCTGCAGAAAGAGAACCTTTCTGGCACCACATGCTGAGATGATGCTAACATTATGGTAAGAAAGCATTCTCTTTGATTGCTCTAACACCACTATATTTCTGAAATGCTTTCTTTTTGTTACCATCAAAATCAGAAGAGGTAACTTAAGACTTCGTTGTTTTGTAACTTACAATAAGGACTTCTCAACATCATAAATACTGCAAGTTTTTTTATTATTATTCTGCAGTGAACCTGACACAATTTTACTGCTTTCTCAGAGTTCAAGTTTGGATTGACTTAATGCACTGATGTAGGTAATTTTTATACCACCAAATTAAAAAGACTAAATGAAAAGGTATCATACATGTCACCATTTTATATGTTTTATGCCCTTTTGAAAGCTTCTTGCTTTTTTTGTGTGTGATTTTGACATAAAATTGCAATTGACATCAAATCAAAATGTTTGCTTTGATTTAGATAGTTTAAATGTAAACTATTAAGTATGTTACAAAAGAAAATTGTAAATTGTGTTTTATCTTAAACGTATCTACCCTAAGGATCATTGCCTAAAGTTATCTCAGCCCCTCAAAAAAGCACGGTTTAACCTTTAAACTTTCTCATGTATTAAGTTTAAAAAAAAAATTCCAGTAAGTTATATTTCTTTTTTGAGGGAAGAAAAATAATCCCATGAAATCAGTTCTTACTATGTAGAGAACTAGACCAAATCCTCAGATGGTCTGAGTAATGAAGACATTATTCTCATATATTTGAAACACTTACATGCTACCCAGAATTAAAAATTAAAGATCCAGAAACATTTTACTGTATGAATAAAATCTGTTGGAAAGTGGAGTGTCAATTCCATTCTGCAAGGGTTGTAATTTCTTTTGCTTGGCCAAAATTTGTGTCTGCCATAAGAATGAACCAGATGCCAAGGAAAGCACTTTTCCTCTCTTTTCAAGTAGCCATCAGCAGTCTTCAAACACATATAAAATGAATTTGGCTACACATTATTGAGTTTTACTAGATGTGTAAGGGAAAGAAAGGGTTTATGATATTTTCCCTTCACCACCAACAACAGCGTCATTATGGGTATTTTAAAAAGTTGCTGTGCTGCAGTTACTGTGGCACATGGGACTGAAATTTCCATTACAATGCTCCAAGCCTGCCTCAGGTCCTGGAGACTGTGGGTATTATTTTTTTAAATGTTAATTTTTATTTTATTTTTACTTTATATGTAGAAATCTGACAGCACTTAAATTTTAATCATTCAGGAGCTTAATCCAGGATTTCTTTCAAAGCTTAAAATTCCCTGTAAAGCCAAATTCCTTGATGTGCAAGAAATGCAGAATCAAACCCTAGGTAGCTGGATCCAAGCTTTGTTTTATCAGCCAAGAAACAAAGTTCTCCTGATTTAAAGTACTGCACATAACATTGCTAAGATAAGGATTTAGTTTCCTAAGCCAGGCCCTGATCCTTTAATGAGCTGTGGGGAGGCTCACACACAGCCACACTGCTGGAGTCACACTGACTCCACTTGCAGGGAACTCCAGCTCTGGCCAGTTTTCCCTATTTCCCCCTGACTTCAACGGCAGAGAAAACCATCCTTTACACTCTCAGCTCATTATATTTTAAGAAGCCCTAAAAAGCATTTATTCCACACCCTCTGAATTCAGCAGGAGCAGGACATTTCTAGGAGTGGGTTATTTTCATTTGATTGCTGTTATTAATTTAAGAATAACTTAAGGAGCACAGAACGAGAGACTTTTTGTTTTTCTTTTCTGACAGAGACATTAACATAGCTCCAACATGGCTCATCATCAGATGATGATGTATTCACCTGCAAAGGTGCAATATTATTCTACGGATCACCACAGATCATTCATTAAACAATTCCTCTGAATAGTAAGATATTTTGGGATTATACTTTCTCTACCAGTTTTGCAACATCTATCTCTTCTCTTCAGAAATTCTTTTCACCAAAACATTTTCATTGAAATCAGTACTCTCTGAAAAAGGATTTATTTCAAGAAAACATAGTTTAGATAGAAAAATACATTAATTAAAGTCTGAAATGTTATTTCAGACATCCCCCATTTACCTTAGAAATTCAAAAAGAATTTCATCACTTTTTTTAACGAAATTATTTCCAGTACTGCAGTATAAGAAATCTAAAATCACTGAATTATTTATTTCTATTTTTACATGTCTTTTCTGTGGTGTCAACAACACACCTCAAAAATAACATACATCATGCTGAGATTTTTCCTGTAAAGTATTTGCATGAAATATTACACATTTTAAAGTTTATGCAACCATTCTGAATTCATCATAATGTAAACCAATCAAAAAATACAAAAATGCTATTGATGTACCAAGGTGTTCATTTTAAAATAAATAATACCTTGGTATTTTATATAAACATGACAAAATGGTGATGAAAAATGTCAATAAATAAAATTCTATTATACAGTCTTCTGTAATTTAATATTTTGACAGTCCTACTCCACTTTTTTCTCAAAAAGAAAACAGTGTTTATTATAGAAAATAAGACTCAGTAGTGTTGTACATAGTAGATATCAGAAATTATTTATGAGCAGATCATTTTATGGATCTCCCATTGTTCTGGCAATACAATATGATGATCCTCAATACTTCATTTCATGAACTCATCACTTTATGGAAACCCATTTTGCTACAAACATCTACCCACTGTGGAGTGCTTAATTTTGACAACTTTCCCAATCTAATATATGGAAGTGTTGGCAAGAAAATATCCTTCACCTTTAAAATTGCTCATAAAGGCATAGAAATTAAATTGGTGCTTACTTTCAGTTGGTGGAGCAACACATCCCAGGCTGAGCCTGTTTGCATGTGGCCAATAGCCAACACCACCCCTGCAGAGCCCAGGGCTCTCCACATGCAGTTCTGTGTCAGCCAAGGTACAGGAGGACCTCTGGCACCAGCACCAGCTCCAGCCAGAGGACACAGAGACACAGCACTGGGGTGGGGAACAAAGCTGTGGAAGACCCCTCACGAGCCAGCCAGGAACATCTCTGAAATTTCAGCAAGAGCTGCGCTGGGGGATGGGGCTCTCTTACAGAGCCCAGGGATGTGTCTGCTTTCCAAACAGAGAGATAACTCTCTGTAAGTGGGACGGGCTCCTGAACCCAAAGACTTCCCCTTCTGCCCCCATACCAGACACATCCAGACAGAATCACACTGTATTTGATAGCCTACAACAGCACCTGAGTTCACCACATTCATCTCACTTTGGGGAGCAAAGGGGATAGCTGTGTTACATATGTAGTAATAATTGGCAAATATTGAGCCTTTGGAACGACCTCGGCAGGACTCGTTGTTTTTGCTCACAGCCAGTTTGTGTCGCCAGCCTATTTTCAATTCCCCCTGCTAGCTCTGAGTCTAGTGATTTTTAGGTATATGTCATTAGCCTGAGTGCTACCCAAATCCACAGCACAGAGGTCTGAGCAGACAAATACTAGGAATTAATTTAGAGGGTCAGATTGTGGAAGGAGGCAGCTCCACACACTTTTCTTAGTCCTACTGCATTTGCTCTGGGAATGCACTGCTTATTAACACTCTGGTAAATAAAGCACATTTATACCTTTGAAGAGATCAAAACAAGACCTGTTTGGGGAGATTTGGGGAGAAGTTCTCACATGCTTTATAAATGCAGGCCAGTACACTGTAAGTAAGGTCACACCATGTCCCCTTGAAGAGCTGCAGGCCTGAGCGCCACATGAAACACCTCATCAACACTTCCAGTTGAAATCAAACTCACTGCAACAGCAACAGAACAGTGTTCTGCCACCCGAGACACAGGAATGACACACAGGGACTGCACAGAGAACAAACAGCAAAGCCTCGGGTAGCTGGGTTCTGACCCGCTCCCAGGGATTTTTTCCCTGACTGATGCTGGAGAATTGCACACCAATTTAGAAGGAGCAGAGGAGCCTGGCAAGGCTGGACATGAGCACTGCACTCTTGGGCACATGGCCACAGCCCCCAGCAGGTGCCAGGCTGCAGCAGGGGCTGGGGAGAGCAGGGGGAGCTGGCCCGCTCAGCTCCCCTCAGCCCAGCCATGGCGAGAAGGGCAGGCCTGATCTCTCCGTGCTCCCTCCCTCACACGACAGGCTCTGCCAGGCTACAAGGAAACATATCCTCTCTTTTGTTTTGGCTCTACAGGGAAAAAAGTGGGGGGGTAGCTCTAAAACAATAGGGCAAAAGAGTAGCATCCAGCAGGATCATCTGCACAGCACTGGGCACACTTAGCACCTTGTACAAATGAAACACAGCTCCATTAATCGCTCCCGACTCACCCAGTTGAGGGGACAGACGACACGCAGCTCTCCATAAGTGCATATGGGATGAACCAGCGCTTGCCTTTTCCCTCAGTTAGCGCCTTATTGCACTGTTTTGGCAATCCAAATGGTCACTCCAAGATTCTTTGGAGCCTTTGTGCGAGCTGTGCAGCCCTGCAGGCAGGGAGCAGCGGCAGCGGTGGGCAGCAGCAGCCAGCTGGCCGGCCCTGCGGCTGGACACCTGCCAGCGTGGCTCGCCTCCAGCACTTCAGCCCCGGCGAGCTGTGCAGCAGGAAGTAGCTGACAGACCATCAGGGAGGATGCATTTTGTCTATTAGGTAACTGAAGCATAATTTGAGGGAAGTTAACACACACGAAAAAAAAAACAAAAAAAACGAAAGAAATTAATAAAAAGACAATCCTTGCTAAAGCTGTCGAAAAGACAGTCACATGGAAACTGGCTCTATGGTTTTACGTGAGAACCTAACACTGTGAGATATATGACACATTGGTGACATTGTTCCTACAACCAGTTTTGCTCTGTGCAGCCTGCCATTTCATTTCCATAGCTAATGTGTTTTGCAATTTTCCTGCATCCTGCACCACATACAAGAACATTTTCAATATCCCCAAAACATTTATCCTTGTAATAGTATATCAATTAATTATCCAATGGGTTTTCTCCTTTCCTTTCAACTTTGAGAGATTTCTAATTCAGAAACTGACTGGACTGTTATCAGCAGTAAAAGAACAATATGTTGTAACAGGTGTATCTAGGGGAGGAAGATGCTCTGTTGATTTGGTACTAGAAAAACAAGTGATACAAAGGAGACCTTTGTCTTTCAGCAACTCACCCTTCAAACATCTTCAGCACAGAAAGGCCAGTTATGGTCATTTAACCTGACCTCCAATGTATTAGAATAAATTTTCATTTAGCAATTACTACACAAAAGCTGCATAACTAAAGGTAAAAAAACCTACTCTTTGGAAATTCTCCCAGACACAATGTAGAAATGCCAAGTGGTAAAGCTCTCACTGTAATTCTGAATAGTCTGTTTAAGTGGTGAATAATTTCACTGTCAAACAGAAACTCCTGATTTCTAATCTTAAACTGTCAGATTTCAGGGTCCAGCCATCTGACAGAACACGGTGTGCTTCTATGCCCTACTTGCTGCTCAGTTTCAGCATTGGTTGTAAACTCCTCATGGCTCGTTATGATGTATCTGGCATAAAGAGATCAGCTTGCTACTACTACTAACACCATCTACTAGCACATTAATCTTTCTAACCAGCACATCCCTTTAGAGCTCACATTCAGGTATTTATGCACCACAACCCTTAAATTTTCTTCATAGTAATTGTTTACAATTATCATTTTCCTTCCAGTAACTGTGACTTTTATGTGTTTGCAGATACCACAGCTGAGGAAAAAAACTCTTATCACAAATCTAGTACAGACTAACTTGTCGGATTGTCACTGAGCTCAAACAGCACCCTTCTGCTCAAGTGTTACAGAGATTGGGGCACTCTCCACTCTTCTGCATACAGGTCTGACTTATTGTTCAGTTCTACCTTGATCTAGACTCACATTTTGATGGGCTTAAAAGTGAATATGCATCTGACAAGATGTGAGATTAACTTCTCACATTTTCTTAAGCAGCAATGGGAAAATCCATTTGTTTCTGCTGTAAAGGCCTCTCTCATTCCTGTTCCTCACCGACCACGAATGTACATAATTATGTCCCCTAAAATACCATGAAGAAAGGTAGAGAGTTTATCCCAGTGTTGCAATGCCCACTCCTTGAGAGTAGTTTTCCCTATGCTTCATACTCTTGAGGGTATTTAACAGAGGGCTAGCAAAGGGTAGACTGGACGGGAGAAAAGTCTTAGATCCATCTCTGTACCTATATCTATCTCCACCAGAATCAGAAGATTTAGTGGCTTATACTTAGGAAACACCACTCAGCTGGCAATTCAGAGAAAAAAGTGCACATGAAGTAAGAACATCACTTTGCCCACCAGCAACGCTGGCTGTGAACAAAGAGAGGACTCCAGAGACTGCATTGGTTTGAATTCTGCATCAGCTGTCCTCTGACTTGTGGTGGTACTCCTTCTCACAGCCAAGAGCAGCTGGAGTAGACCTTCTCATGCTCAGGTCTGGGTGGAAGCCCTAAAGTACTACAGGTGTTTTTTGTCATTGCACCCTACTGCTAATATATAAAAGCAAAAACACATCAAAAATAATCAAAAAATCCAGGAAAAACCTTTCACACTTTCTGCAAAATATAATGCCCTGAAAATCTATAGGTATTACTATGGTTACTAATCCAGATATAGCTAAGGTTTCCTTCCTTATCTTACTTTGAGGCTTTCTCTGTTGTGCTTTATTCACAAGAGTTCAATAACAAATTATCCTTAATTTACTGCTACTAACAATGTAGTCAATTTTTGGTGCCAAGTCTGCTGCCTTAATATAGGCAAAACACTCAGTGAGGCAGACAGAATCCTTGCCTGAGTTAAGAAGGCAGGATTAGGCCCACCTTATTATACAGTTATTTATTACACAATGATAATTAACACGAGGCAGACAAGCTCATTTATTTGGCAACAGCAACCCTGGCTGAAACACACTGTTAAAAAATGCTGAGCATAAATAATATGAAGAAATGCTTATGCAACAATAAGAAAATGTATGATTGTGTATTCTATCACATAGCTTAAAAACTGCAGGTTAAGCAAATTACCACTGGCACTGCGTATCCGTAATTCTGCCGATCACCTAAATGAATGATCAGGTATGATCCTTTCAATTCTAGCAGCGTTTCTTTCTAAATACCTCACTATTTAGCAGCCTAAAGGGAGCCAACACATCAGTAGTGCCTTCTATGCACTGTCGAGTCCCAGCTTGAGCACACCAAACTCTGAGGCCTTTTGAAATCTTTAAAGACAATCACACATAAGACAGTTTCTATATTGCAGGGCTGGCTAGCGCTACTGCAGCACAAAACAATATTTCAAGCTTTCTGATATACATGTGTCACCTCTATGTGACAAATAGCTTGTATTAATTAGGCACTAGACTTGGTGAGATTGCTGTTATTAACTGAGAGAAGATGGGTTGAATTTAATTGTGTGTGACATCAAAGCCAAGTGACTGATATTTCAAGCATCATTTAAAATGTTTGATATTGGAGTCATTGTATTCACATAAAGACTGTCTAAAAATATAAAGGAGAATGATGAGAGAGGAACTGAAATGCATTCATACAATCCATCTTATGAAGTGAATTTGATGTAATTTTGCTTGTATTTTTGACCCAGTGTTGACAATATTTATTTATTTAGTTATATAAAATTATTACTTTGAAGAACAGTTTATTTTTCTCAGTACTAATTTTGGAGACAGCTGGGATGGTTTGTATTGGTTCCAGCATCAATGTTCTCAGAAATGTGGACATAAGGGAGGGGGAACATAAAAGATAAGCTTGCACTGGGATTTGCTTTATAGCCATTAATTAACACTGTTTGGAAAATGTTTACTTAAGAAAAGCAGATTGCACATTATTTAGGCAAACTTCCATAACAGCTTGAAAAAAAGAAAGGGGAAAAAGAAACTGTTTAAAATTGCACGTGAAAGAATATATTTAAGGAGTAAGAGCTGGCTATTGCACTGTACAAATGGTAGCTATCTCACACTCATCAGGATGTGAGGAATGCTGTTTTAGGGTCGAATGTTTCTCTCATTTAAGATGCTGGCAAAAATCCTCTTCAGTTTGGCTGGGCAGAATCACACTCGTGATGTAGCATGATAATATATATGGTGTTTTGCTAAAAAGTGGGTCAATAAACAATTGCCCCAGAGGATATTTGTCTATAATGCTTCTGCATTGTATCATTTCCTTTTAGTTCTTTCTTCAAAAATAAATAAAATAAACCACTTGCTTATTCCATCCTTGCCATAAAGCACACAAAACAATCCAACTGAAATCAGCTTAATTAAACCGCAATGCGTTGCAAGCAAACATGTGTCCCCTAGGTATTCCCAAGGAGACAAATCTGAAGTGCACAACAGCCAAAAGTAAATATTAACAATTTCACAAACCAGAAAGACAATGTTCCAGTCAGAAGAACCTCCCCATTGCCACAGTGGTGCCCTAGATCCACACCCTATGGAGCAAGGAGGAACAGGCAGGCTCACTGTAGGTGCCTTCCCCTACCTGCAGCCCAAGGAGGTCAGAATATAAAATCCAATATGTACAATATATATAAATCAATGCAAATCAATGCACGTAACATGCATCTATATGTGTGGATTTTCATGTATGTAAATGAGTGTATTTATTTTATATCAGAATTAGTACTGCCATAGTCACCAACACAGCCAAGTATATATAAATATTATAACCTCATCCCAATGGGATTCAGCTCTCAGAGGGACTTTGTCCTCCCAGGAATGCATTTTAGACTGATCAGATAAAATGTTTAATCATGTGCTTAATTGTAAGAACTGATTTGGCTGGAGAAACTGATGTGCATAAAGCCAAAAGATACATAAATACCTCAGCAGTTGTACAGGTATAAAGAGAATTCATGGATAAGCTCCAGTTCATGTGAGAGCAATTCTCCCCCATTTCTTCACAGTAGTGAATCAAAATCTTCTTAGAAATTATCCAAATTCTCTTGTCCTGAGTGATAATACAAAGGTGCACCTTTTCCTCACTCTGTACAGGATTGATATTAGCATCTAGTTTTTAACTAGCCTTCTGCTAAGAAAAGATTTAAATTATTTCATTGAAAAACAAGGAAAAAACTTAGTGTATCTGGTGGGATTCTTTGGCAGTTACAATAACAGTTTTAGAAAAATTGATAAAGTAATTTATATTAAAAAATCAGAAAATCAAAAAAAATTTTTTTCTATATATGAATAGTTCACAGAAGTAGCTCTAGGTTCCCTGCAATTCATTTGTTATTAGGAGCTAATTAGGGTATAATTGCAACAACCTCTCACTGCTCTGTCCTTCATCTGACAGGCAATTGCTGAATGTTTTTTGAAAAATCTATCAAGTACTTTCCTACTTTTTGATAAAATTTGCAAAGCTCTCTGAATCAGGTTGCAGTCCATATTTGCAAATTGAAAATTATTCATATATATTCAAAGGTGTTTAAAATGCCCTGTTTCCATAACCATCCCTACCAGAAATCTC